TTAAGCGTGGTAACCTCGTACGAGTGCCCCAAAATTTTTCCCGCGTAAATTCATAACTCGGGGTTCTGAGAAGCTAGAGAGCTGAAATCTTAGTCAAAATTTTTCCCGCGTAAATTCATAACTCGGGGTTCTGAGAAGCTAGAGAGCTGAAATCTTAGGGTGGTGTTCCCTTGTGTAAGTGGGTATTAACGAGTTCAAGCCCTGCCCGCGGGTAAGCGTGTTACCTACGTACAGGCCCGTGATAAGTATATTAGCGAGTTCAAACCCTGCTCGCGGGCAAGCGTGGTACCTACGTACAGGCCCGTGAAAAGTTCCTTCCGGGTAAGTTACTTACTCGAGAACGTGAGCTAGAAGACGAATTTTGAGAGGATGTTTCCTGACGGTTCTGGTGGGCAGTCTGAAATTCTTTCAGTTAGAAGCATCTGCCGAAAAAACCGATGCCGGTAGCGACAGAAACTGCGGGAACTCTGCAAAAAACGCATCTTCGCACGGGCACCCCATGCATTAGCCAATTATTAATTCACATATTGACCTTTCGACCCCTCAAAATAGTATCATCTGGACTGTCAACTCAGCTGGTTGCTTCTCACTGCTTTTGGGCTACCATCAAAATCTGACCGATTTTCACATTTGTAGCTTTAAACTACATGCGCTATTTTCAAGTTTTGATAAATGTGTGAATTCTGCGTCAGTTCGATGAGTATGCGCTAAATCGTCCAACAACGATCTTTCGAGCGGTCCCGAAGGGTCAGAGGTCCTGATCACACTGATGCCCGAACATTTCCAGTACTAAATGTATCCGCAAAACCACATGTTTCTTCGCTTTAGAAGCCTAAACAACCGGTCGGAAATCGAATGTTACTGATATTGCTAGGATGCATCCATATGCCGGGTGCATATGCAGTCAGGCAAACAAAAGGCAAACACAGACAAACAAACAAACATGTAACAAACGCACAAACACAAGTACCACGATTTGTCTCGAGGGAGCAAAAAAAAGCGTAAAAATGGCCACTAGAATGAGCTCGAATGCGCTAAAAGGTATCTGAAAGTTTCAGGTAGATTGAGGTTAGCGTGAAATTGATAATTAGCAGCGTTAAGGGTGTGAACTAAGAGTTTGATTGATTTTATAATAGCCACAAAGAGAGCTTACGGTGATCGTCGTGAACACATTCAAGCCACTGTTTCCTGGATGAAGGGAAGAGTGCTGCTGAAAGACTTTTGAGGGAGAAAAACAGGTCCAGTGATGTATAGGATAGCAACAAGCTTTTGAATACGGATATGAACGTCAATGCAAAACCGATTCCTAAAACGTTTGCGGTTTGTATTCAAAGTAAACTGTTTTGCCCTAACTGTTCACATTTGCAAAAACTAGGAATCCCGCAGTAATTAATCAGCATTTTACCGCATGCTTTGAATAGTTGGCTCTTTCCCTCATTGAAAAAAGGAACCTTTCAGTTATTCTCACTCATTGAAATTAGGATATTTAGAATATATTATGATCAAGTAGAACTTAAAATCTCTGTTAGCTACTTCCGCTTCCGAAGTGACCTCAGTTTACAGTAATTTTTCAATACCTTTCTACTTTGCGAGATACAGAAATTATTTGGGACTTTTTTCTGGCAAAATATGAAAAATGATTAATTTGATGCATCTGCAAACGCTTAACAGCCTGAATGCAATTTTGGAAGGATACTTAAAATGCTATAGCAAATCGGCTCGGAAGATGCTCGAATTAGCAAACGTTGTGGCGTGTAAACTTTCGAATTTTATATCAAATCCAAAAAACAGAACTCCTTCCGCGTTAAGGTTTGAAATCAACATTCAAAACCAATGATCTTTCTGAATCCAGTTACACATTTTTTTCAAAATTTCCGCATTTTTTTATTTCTTCAAAGTATTTCTTTTTTTTTAAGATTCATTTACACCTCACCAACTGTACAAATCTGCATTGTTTTGGAGAAAGAGGATGAGAGAAAGCACAGTTATGCATTTTTGTTAAGAGCCGTTACAAATTCTATTCTTAAATGGTGAGTAAATCACTGTTTTTGTAATGCTCATTCCCTGAACAATATTTATCCCTGTGCAATTATTTTTGTGTAAATTGATTAGCAGAAAAGTACCAGCAAAAGCCGGACAAAGACAGTGAAATATTTGCAGTGGTGGCAACGAACTGAATTGGCCAAGTGCATTCTCCAAGTAGATGATCGGTGTGGTAACGAGGCCGAGGCACACAGCATATGGAATCAAGAATAGCACTGCAATTTTTAACTTCTTTACTTATTTCATGCAGTTCGATTACCTAACTCCGGGAACTCGGCGTGCTAGGACCCCGGGAACTCCAGGTAATAGGCCCTCGTTCTCGCCTTAAGAAAATGTCAGAATCGCTTGTTAAGACAAAGTCAAAAAGTCAAAACCCCTCTCCATATTCGTTCCGTGTGAAAGGCAGAAGTCGCTGGGTAAGTATAGTTCGAATGACAGCAAACACCAATCTTCTCCCTCTTGACGTGTGCCAGTACCAATTTCCCACAAAAACAAATAAAAGAATAGCAAAGTTGTAAATTAGATATAAAGAATGGGCGCAAGAGAAGGAAAGTGTAAGAAGAAAAAAGAGGACCAAGATGTTTAATTTTATCAGCTATCCGCAACGGATTTTTCAAGCGCGGAAAAAAGTAACCATACCGCCGCCCGACTCGGATAACAACGCCGGAAATCGGAAGATGTTACTCAGGTTAACAATAAGCGATAATGTGATGAAG